TTGTTCAAAAAGTCTCCAAGCACTTCTCAAACATCTTCACTGACTTGTTCTCATCTTGGATATCAAACTCAAGCTCTGCACAGTGTCTGCAGGGCCCTGCATGATTTAGCCCTTCCTACTTCCCTATGCTTTTGCTTCCTACTCTGTGTCCATTTCTACATAGCCTTATTTTTCTTCCATTCTCCAAAAATACTGCCTTTTTTTTCTTTTTTTTAAATCTGGAAACTACTGTACATCTGTGTTTCTTTTCTTCATCTCCATCCTGCTATTTTTGCCTGCAGGTAGCTGTATTCCTTAGATTTCTCATCTCCAGAAACATAGCCAGCCATAGAATTTAAGACCAACAAAAACCATCAGATCATGGTGTGACCTTTTCTGCACTGCAGTCCACAACATTTCATCCACTTACTGCTGTGTCAACATCGGGATACAACTATACTAATGCCAATCACACTTTAATGGCATGCACAGCCAAAGAAACTCTTCAGGAAACGTGTCAAACCTTGCTAAACTCAAACAGAATATAAAGAAGCTCTTGTGTACTGCCTGTGGATGCAGTTTTGATTCTTTCTTGTATATAACTCCAATAAGATGCAGCAATAAAAATCAATGTTTGTAAGGAAATCTTGTTTCTCATTCATAGCTATCATTCATAGCTGTTGCTGTCCTCTTCTGAAATAGTTATAGCCTCTTGATTGTTGCATCTCTTGCATCTTCTAGTGCTCCCATAATCCTATTTTACAGCACTCCATGCATTGTCCATTTTTATTTGTAAGCTGAAATAGTTGCATAAGGCTTCCTCAAAATGAGCATCTAACCAATTGTTCGGGATCCTTCAGCACAAATGTAAGTCCTCAGAAAACAAGGTACTTCAGTACATTTCCTATGTACTCATTTTTAATAATGAAACATTGGAGCAGATTCACCATTACCAAAACCTTTTATCAACAGGAGATTTGGTCCATTTTCTTTAATAAGAGCAGCAGATTTGCCAACCCACTATTTCCATGCTATTCATCACTGTTATAACACCACTTTTTAATTGCATCCTTGTTCCAAGTTTTTAGCTGTTGATTGAGTTCTATCAAATTACAGATGTGCTCTGCGAATGTCAAGGGCTGCTCTGAGGAAAGCAGTAATAGCAACCAAGTACTAGCTGAAATTTGCTTTCCTTTTTTTCCCCTCCCCAAAACCTTACAGCAGTACAGGAGTCGGACATAAAATATTATCCCTAGACTACTGCTGGCATCACCTTTGTATGTCCATAACAATGAGTCATGGGCCATCCTTGAGAAGTTTGGTGTAAATCTGGAGGCTAAGTTCCAGATGTTCCTCTGGAACTTTTTTTAAGTTATAAAATGGAACTGAAATTTTGTTTCTCCTGCCCTCCATGAGATTCTAATGAACCAAAGGAAAGACAAAAAACTGATTTTCTAGAAAGTGCCCTTGTTTCCTCAAATAGACACACAAAATCTATGCATAGGAAAGGTATTCAAGGAATGTTTACAGAAACCATTTCAGAAATGTTTTAAAGCACTTTCCCGTTCCACTTACGCCCCAAATAACACGAGAACAGCTTCCTTCACTGTATTTATTACTTCTACTTCTGATCTCAATAGGAAGAACTGTGAAGACATGCCTTTTATTTTGGTTTGAGTTTAACAATAGTTTAGATCCCAGCAGTCCTGCTTTCACTGGAGCCATCTCATTCAGGCCTGCCCACAGGTCAACAACCGGAGCAAATATCAAAGTTATGGATCAGCTGTACAGGATAAAGCAAAATAAAACTATATTGATGCAAGTTTGTTCCCTGCACTCCAGGTCAAAGAAAGAATGTCTTTTTTTCTGGGTTGGCCCTGCAGGCCTTGCATTTTGACCTGCAGAACATTAAAATTAAGAACTACAGGGATAGGAAGGAAAGAGTAAGTTTCAGGGAAGAGACCTCTTGGAGAGACCCTAGTTTCATCTGCTTCTTTCCTAGCTAACTTAAGTAACTCATCTGGTCCCTCAGTTGCCTCGCTGTTTGTACAAGGAGAGTTATCTTTTAAGAAAATCCGGAAAACAAACTATTTATGTATCTGAAATGACACCTTAGGTTGGATCCTTAAAATGAGTAATAGCCCATCCCTGCACAAAGCAGCAG